CTTCGCATTTCCCTAAAACTAGAACAACCCACATCCTTAACTATTTGCGAACAGTAATCTAATCTAGGTTTACCTCTATCCTTCCTAACTCCTGTTTCTGCATTCAATATATCTCTGACTAGTTCTTCATGCCTGACAAAGTGTCCTACCAACCTATCTCACCTGTTTCTTATTGATTTGAACTTTCTCTGTTGAGGATAACTGAACTTTATCTATGACATTTGCAGGATTCTTTTCGTTGTTATCGTATTATATTCGAGCTCCTACTAAACAAAACGGATATCACAACTTAAAATACGCATTTACAGGTGTTTCTTTAACTGAAACATTTTAATGACAACGTTTTCTAAACAAGCATAAAAAGTTATGAAATTCTGAATGTAATTTTATTCTCAACAATCCTTAAGTTTCCTTCAATGCTGTCTAGTAATGTTGAAAATTTGTACCTATTTTTGGATGGTAGTATCAAAGTAGTATATACGTTTATAGTTAGAAATAAGTGTGTATTCTGTAGTATACTTTAATTTTAATTTCTAATGTCCTTTTTCATCTTTCCAGGTCACTCCTTCAGAGTGTAGCTCGATGCCCTGCGAAGAATCGTGGAAAGCCAAGGCAGAAGAGTATGAATTAGAACACAGGAAATCAAAAGAGAGTTCTCCAGAAGAGTTAACCCGTACAGAAGTGAGACAAAGTGCAACAAAACGCGTTAAAAAATACTTCAAAAGATGTAAATATGCCTTATCCAAATCCAACAGTGGTGAGGCATCCAGCTCGATTGATTCATATTCGTCACTGTCGAATATCGATAAAAAAGCCGAAGAGTCGCTTCAAGACGTTACAGTTACGGATTTGACTGAAATTTTCGAAGACGTTTGCGTAGATACGTCGATAACTAACGATTTTAGTGATAAATTAGTCGTTGCTAACGTGATCGATGTTAAAGTGACGACGGGTGTTGTGCCAGAAAACTCGGATTACGTGAACGTTCGAACTGATCGTGAGCCGGAAAACTTAGAGCGCGTTGTTTCGGAAAATCTTGAGCCAATTAGTGAGCGTATTCAGGAACTTTTTTCCGAAAGTGTGGAAACTTTCGAGCCTGAACAGAGTGAAGTTGGATCCTCCGAATCTTTTCCCCACTTGACGGAAGAGCAAGAGAGGGTTAAGGATAAAGAAGAGGTCATAGATACAGGCAAAAGTAATCCCGACAACGGAATTGAGGTAAGTCATAGAATACGATTTTCCCTTTACATAAACAACTGCTCGTTCTAATCAATGTTACTAGTCTATAATTTGATCACACGTTTTAATGGTTTTAATTAAGATCGATTTTATTAATTCTTCTTCAAATTCGCCGTCAGTGGCTGATGGATGGTCCATTCATGGTTTTATACTTAACGTTGTATATTTTCGTACTATACGAGGGTGGATTGATAAGTTTCCGGCCTGACCAAGAAAAACAAGGTTTTTAAAAATTTTTTTTTTTTATTTCTCAACATAATCTCCTCCAAGGCTGATACATTTCTCATAGCGGTGTTCCAGTCTATTAATGCCATCTCTATAGACNAGATCTCAAAAGAATGCTCGTTGGGAAAAACTTTTCGTCGAATGAAGAGGTGATCGCCGAAACTGAGGCCTATTTTGAAGCAAAGGACAAATCGTACTACAAAAATGGTATCGAAAAGTTGGAGGATCGCTATAATCAGTGTATCGCCCTTGAAGGAAATTATGTTGAATAAAAAAAACGAATTTTGCAAAAAAAATGTGTTTTACTATTTTAGGCCGGCGACTTTTCAATTGACCTGTTAGGAGGTAATATTAGAAAGAGTGGAAGAGCAGAGGGTGCTACGTAAAAAAGGAATAAAAATTCAGCGGTACGATTAAACCTGGAATGAATATTTATGAAAGTCTATCAGACAGAATTAATTTCATATACTATTCAACATAATGCGGCTGGTACGCAAAATGCGATTGGATGTAGTGTAACGCTATTAAATTATTTTATTATTCAATTTTAGTAAATAGGTCATGAAAATACCTAAATATCTAATATTTAGGCAGTTCTACATATCTGCAACACGTGTGTTCTGACCCAGTAGTTCCTGCAATGGTTTCTGTGCTTCAATTCCTTTCAGATTTTTTGTTTTATGTATGTATATTCACTTTATTCAATATAATAATAATATAATATGCATATACCTACAAATACAGGCACTGTTCACGTAGGCGACATAAACTGCTAATATTTTTTTTAAAATTCCCTGATCATCTAGTAAATATCCATTACAAATGGTATAAGTATACCTTTTACTTAAAGTAAATGTTAGTTCACGAGCTCACTAATAATACTTCCTATTTTCCCCTCGACTTTTTTCTTCGTCTTTGTAACGTGATACCAAGACCAGAAACTACAACTGCATCGAATATCTTCTACCTATAATAATAGAACATTAAACGTACCGACCGTTTAGTAGAATGCTCCAGGGCTGGAGTATGTTTCAATAAATAAAATGCCACGGCTCTTATCTCGACGGCGCTTTTTCGAAAAAGTGCGCCTTATTACTAATACCATTTAAGGATTTTCACTTTCACAAACAAACCGAACGAACTGCACCGTTTGTGTAAATATAAATTATGGCAGGTTATCAAACAAACCATCTCGAACTAAATGTGCTCACGAAATTTCAGTTTGCCAACAACGGTTTCCTGCTTCGGTTGCAAATGCTTTATTGTTATATTATTGTATTGTACGATAGTTATTTATTTGTACGGAACAATACAGTAAACATCTGTCGATGAAAAGTACTTAGTAAGAAACGAGCAAAATCTCAAAGGAGAATAAGCTATAATTTTAGATATTATTGTAAAAAACAATTTTTTGGGTTTTTCTTAAAAATATATCGAAGTATTGATATGCTCACGCAGTTCTGAAATATACATTCGGACTCGGTCGTTACAGGGATGGAATGTAAGTAATCATTAAAGAAACATCAAATATTTTGAAATAAATGACCTAACCTAACCTCAAATTAATGAGGAAAAAGTGTTGCTGCTATCACTCCCTTGCCGGGAATAGAACCCAAGCCGTCGTTGAAAGCGCCAGTACTTTACCAATAAGCTAGCGTTGGTGTTACTGCTGTCACCTCCTTGCAGCTTAGTGGTGGAGTACTGATGCGTAAAACCAGAGGTTCGGGCTCCATTCCCGGCAAAGGCGGGAAAACAACAACACTTTTTCCTCATCAATTTGAGGTTATTTGTAGTGTCTAAATTAATTCAAAAATTAATTTGTTAATACATTTTATTTTGAAATTATGTTTTACGAATAATGAGGTCAAAATTTGCGAGAAATTATTTACACTTCCCGTGTGCGTGTCTAATTTATAGATGATGAGATTGATAGCGTTTGACTGCTTCTTAATCCATAAATAAAAAAAAATAATAACAGGAAGTTTTCATCACCAGTGGACTGACTTACTGTTTCGCTAAAGTTTACTCTAAGAAAATAAAATTACGCTGTTTATGTTCTTATTTCTATTTTTGCTTTTTCTTATATTTGTAGATAATAAATTTAACAGTAGATAGGTAATATCTCGATAATTTCAGTGAATATTGAAGAAAAATAGATGGGAAAGTGGAAAAACAAGTATTTACTTACTCCTGCCAGTCATGCTACTGAATAGAGTCGAAAGCTCTTTAAGAAACGTCAATATTATCTTAATAGGAAACATTTTCACTTTCATCAGTTAACTGTTACGTTTTGTTTTCCTTCAACTTCCATGCACCTACCGCAGTGGCAGATTGATATTATTTGGTAGCATTAAATGCTGACTTGCCAGCCTGACGAATAAATATGGACGCTCATACGTACCTGTGTATGTAACATATTTTTAGAAATTACCGGAAACGATACACTCTTTCTATTCCATCACAGCAAACAAACGCTATTAGTATTGTGCGTCTAATTTCTCGTTTATTACGTTCAACTTTCTGTTTACTATCGAGAAGGAAGCGGCACACCGTATGCTTTACATGCATACGATTTAATAATCGTAACATTATTTAGGTAAGATTTTCTATTTACTCACAATATTATGCGAGCACCTGATTGAAATATTGGTAAACATGCAAAAATAACATAGAAACTTTCATCAATAAATGAGAACGCAAAGACCAAAATGCTTATCATCATGCATCAGAAATGACGTTGTTCCCATTATTTCCTGTATGCAGGACACACTTATACAAGCCTCAGTAAAGTATTAACTTTTTCTGGGACTAGACTTTTTGTAGAAAAAACGTACGAGATATTTAACAGTAGAATAGCGCAGGGACGAGTTACCTTCAACAAGAAGAAGTCACTTCTATGCTCGGGAATGGTTCTTTTAGAAATTCACAAATAGTTAAGGATGTGGGATATTGCAGTTTTAGGAAAATGCCAAGATTAGCTCAGGATAGCATGGAGCGATGGTGTCTAACGTGTCTTAGGACTGACGACCTTATAGTGGTGACCGATCATCTTTTTTTTTGTTTAGTTTATCCTCGAGGAAGGGAAGTCTTCAAAAGACACCCCCTGAAGTGAAGTAGTGTCGGATTCGCTAAAGCGCCTACCAACTAAAACTCCTCCTCGGGATGTCAACCCGAAAGTTCTTGCTTCCAAGGGAAGATTTTGGCTAGATTGAGAAGGGGGAGAGGTAGAAGTGGATGAGGAGTGTTTTAAGGGGGGTGGTGCGGGTGTGAGTGGGTGCCCCATCACGAAAGTAGGGTGGAGACTCGCTAAAAAGCGAAAAACCGATCATCTATCCATTTCCATTTTAATAGTTACGTTTGTTAAGGTCTTGGCTTCTTTTGCGCCTATCGCATAAGTTGCAGTTAGGCAGGTTGATGTCGTAATAAGGCCTTGTCTAATTCATGAAATACTTCATTAGCAGCAAATGTCTACTAGGTGGCAGTATACTGCTTATACTTTGATATTATATATTTCAATTTTGTTTTATGCATTTATATGCGTAAACATCTATAAATATTTCATGTAGGCGCCGTCTGATATTGAAAACCCAATTTTACGATAGGTAGATACATTATCAACAAGACATTTTTACAGTTTCTTCCTTGGTTTTCAAATACGTATTACTCATATATAATATTACAAGTTATCTTGTAATAAAACGTAGATTTCACTCACGCTTTTCCTCTCCTTATAATGTATTACTTCAGAACTAGATTAGTGTAACATTATGTTACACGACATATAATTTAAACTTGCACGTTGTAGTCGTTGTTTTTGTTGTTGTGTTAAAAGCGGAAGAAATGCGGGTATCTAGTGGATCGATGTATCTATCTATCTATCTATCTATAAAAAGTGAAAAGCCATAAAGTCAGGCGTTCCACTTAGGTGCATAGTCTACCTGTGTGATGTCATCTCTAACCCATATCCTACACGAATAAAGTGTGCTTGAAGTATTTATAGATTAAATTGTGGTAGGTAGTCGCTTATCGTTTATTGTTGTCTTGTTTATCTATGTACATAGTAACGACTTCTGAAATCGCGGCTTCCGAAGCCTGCCGCATGAAAATAGAAACGAAAAAATCGAATAAGAAATACGGCTCCGTAAGAGGACCATTCCATAGTTGGTGATCTCTGACAAGGTGAAGTATGATTCACTATTGTTCGGTTTTAGGTTAATTCCAGAAGCTGTATAAGGTTCAAAACATTTCTATTAGTAGAACGTGGGACTTTCTTTTCTCTTATAACTATTAATCGCGCCTCCTTTAATACAGGATTATCGTGAATCCTCAGGGGTATTCGATTTCATTCCGAAGAGTCGCAGAACATGAATTCTTCCAGCGAGAAATTTCTACATTTACACTATTTACTGACCCGTTGACATTCACGAAGATAATTCAGCCCCATAAAATAGCCAACACGTGTGTTAACGGAGACATTATCTGAGGTCTTTATAAACTCTACTGCGTTGAATTTTACTTGCATCTGCCAATATTCTCGTTAACAAAGTCGGATGATATAGTATTATGTCTTTGCGGATGCAGGTACCATATGCATATAGATTACTAATTAAAAATAGTAGGTAGTAATTGACAGTTAGCACAAATTAAAATGACTCGATTATGGTCAAATTGACAAGAAACATATTGGTGTCTATAATTTCTCATGAAAATGTCGTTGGTGCTTGGCTTTTGAAACAAAAGTTTTTATTGTCAAAAACTTAGACCTTACTATTTTTTATATATACCTAAAGCAATTCAAAATTTTAATTCTTTATGTGGAAGCAGTCGTACGTTGTAGCTCATCTAAATTAATTGAAAAACTTATTGGGATCGAAGCCTAGTAGATACATTTTGTATCTTATGGTTTTAATTAGAAATGGGTCAGGTACCCGGTTTGGATCCAGAACTAGGCGGATACGGCCCTTTTTTAGGATCCAACCGGGTACTGGATAATGGCGCGTTTAAGATTTAAGAATGTCCAGTGGTGTTAGGTGGTGGGAACAGGCAGGGTACAGTTTGAGACCTCTTCGTCCAGATCATTTGTTTGTTTGAAAAATTCTCATCTGAATGTGCTCTTAGACCACGACTATAGTATTTTCGTTGGTTCGGATCATTTTCGTTGATAGCATGTATATGTAGGTATCATTACTGGAATGTAACTCTTTCATTTACAACTTCATTAATAGTGATGGACACTTGTTTCGCAATAAGTTTCCAGAACTCCTTCTTGATACTGGTGAAGCTCGTTGATGTTGTTGGCCCTTTAGAATAGTATTTCTGAGCATCCAATTCCATTTGTTTTAAATCTTTCATCCTTTAAACTGTAAATGGCGTATTAGGTGGATCTGCCTGAAACTCCCTGTGCTGTTGTCTTTATAGAGTTGGTACATTTTCGTACATAAAATAGAATTCTTAAACAAGTTTTCTAAAAATAATCTCCCAAAGCCCAATCTGTGGTAGAAGTGTCGTAATCCTAGACAAAAATTTTCAGTCTCTCTCCAGTCTCTCAGTCTTTCGGAATGTTTCAGCCTCTCTGAGAGCGCCTCTCATAGTCTCTGTATGAGAGACTCGAACGATAAAATTGTTAATTCGGAGATTCGAGTCTCTCACAGAGAGACTGAATGAATAAAACTGAAAAAAACAAATTATCTCTCATTAAAATAACCCGAGGTAGTTTATAGTGGCTAAAAAATTGAAAATGACTTTTCATATTAGTATTTAATGTTAACCACTATTGAATATCAGTGTTTCATGTATATAGTATTAATTTATCTATCAAATTTCGGAAGAAGAAATAAATAATAAAATTCAATTGATCACATTCGTAAGTAATTTCTTTCTGGCGGAATCAAGTGCAATATCAGATCGGTAATAGTAATACAATGACGGACACGCTGCACCTACAACTCTCGCTCTCATTTTGTGTAATACTGCCAGAAAAAAATAAGAAATGAAAGTTAAGAAATGCACAACCTTGTCAGCCGCGTCCGTTATTACCGTTACTCATTGTGATTAAAGCTAACCAACTGTCTTCACGGTCGTTTTTATAACAACACAACTACATAATTTATTGTACATACTGCATGCAGTCTATCGAAAGAGTGAAGCCTCTGGTGACACGTTTTGGGACTTATGAGGTAAACGCGTCTTCCTTAACTCGAACCATTTTTAAATAACCTTACTTTTTGGATTGTATTAATAAGACCACAAGGTATTATATTGTTGAAGAATAGAACCGAAAAATGTTAGGAAAATTTGGTAAAGGCTGTAAGTAAAATGGTACTGTCGTAATTTGGGTTGAAAGGCATTCGTCGGTTCGATGCGAGATCTAAAGAAACTCCCCACTTATTCTAGCAAAACGTTTCAACTGAAGACGGTCTTTAAACTTGAATCAAGAGAGCAACAGTTTTAAGAGGTATTGCTTCAGAATTCCATGGGTCATAATCTTGAGTTGCGCAGTAACACATCTCCACCCCTTCGTTGATTTCTATATACATTTCTTGATAAGGATTTGTATGTACTTACTTGTACTTTTACACTTGCTTTCTAAGAATTACTATACAGCTTTTCAAATCAATTGAAAATTTAGCTGATAATAAAAGATGTGAAAAATTGAAAAATACTATTATGTTATAAAGTTCGTTAAGGAAGATCTCTACAAACCTCGACAAATTTGTTTAGTCAACGTTTATCTAACATAATAAAAAATAAATAAAAAATATTTTTCAATTAGCTTATCTGAGCACTGTTTTAATTTAAACCACATTTTTGATGTAGTTGGTGTCGTTTAGAATTCATGCATTCCAGAAAGTAGAATGCTGTTCCTATTTGTCTACCCCTCTACCCCTTCTAACCTCCGTTTCTGCCTCTAATATGTCTCTGACTAGACCTGCATACCTGAGAAGGTGTCCTACTAACCTATCTCGCCTATTTCTTATTGACTTCCATAGAATCCTTCGTTATCCTACTCCTTCCAATACCTCTTCATTTCTAACCTCCTCTATCCACATTATCCTCACAATTCGCCTGTAACACCACATTTCGAACGCTTCAAACCTTTTCTTTTCAGCCGCGCCCACTGTCCATGTTTCGCACCCGTACAGCGTTGTGCTCGAAACATACACCTTTAACAACCTGCTTCGAGTATCTAATAAATAATAAAATAAAAATATCCACCAATTTATTCCTCTCTCCTTTTGTCAATGACCACAAGATTATTCACATAAGATACAAAAATCGTTTAAAAGTTCATACCGACTCTGTCCAAGATTTAGTGTGACTGCCTTTGTAAAGAAGAAGTTGGTCGTTCATGGTGGTCGAAGTATGATGGTTATTGTTGTTTCTGTTCAAGTTCATCCTACCCAAAGTGAAAGGTTAAGGAAATACGTTTTTTTTAGAAGCTTCGACGTAGTCGCAAAGTTCAAGTATTGTTTGCATTCATGGAGCCTTTCGACAGAAAAGAAAAATCTCGATGCACAGTAACTGAACAAGACAACTGGATATGGAAGTAGATTATCTGATGAATAATACCGACTTAAGAGTATAAATCAGAATCGTATTTCTCGCCCAACAAAAGATGAATTTTCTTTCACAAACCATAACCGTATTATAACAACCTGAAGGATAACTACTTATCTACACATTTTTTTCGCTACAAAATTCCTGTAGATTCGCAGACTAACTGAAAGGAAACGAATGCTTTTTTTAGGGGTTAACGAAGTATAATCTTCTTATGCCTAAACACTAGGTGAAATTTTCTGTTAAATGTAATAATTAAAATTCTTACGATTATCTTGTGATTGACTTGTCTAAATCGTCGTCAGTCCTAAGACTGGTTAGACACGCACCTCCACTCTTTTCTATCCTGGGCTAATCTTCGCATTTCCCTAAAACTAGAACAACCCACATCCTTAACTATTTGCGAACAGTAATCTAATCTAGGTTTACCTCTATCCTTCCTAACTCCTGTTTCTGCATTCAATATATCTCTGACTAGTTCTTCATGCCTGACAAAGTGTCCTACCAACCTATCTCACCTGTTTCTTATTGATTTGAACTTTCTCTGTTGAGGATAACTGAACTTTATCTATGACATTTGCAGGATTCTTTTCGTTGTTATCGTATTATATTCGAGCTCCTACTAAACAAAACGGATATCACAACTTAAAATACGCATTTACAGGTGTTTCTTTAACTGAAACATTTTAATGACAACGTTTTCTAAACAAGCATAAAAAGTTATGAAATTCTGAATGTAATTTTATTCTCAACAATCCTTAAGTTTCCTTCAATGCTGTCTAGTAATGTTGAAAATTTGTACCTATTTTTGGATGGTAGTATCAAAGTAGTATATACGTTTATAGTTAGAAATAAGTGTGTATTCTGTAGTATACTTTAATTTTAATTTCTAATGTCCTTTTTCATCTTTCCAGGTCACTCCTTCAGAGTGTAGCTCGATGCCCTGCGAAGAATCGTGGAAAGCCAAGGCAGAAGAGTATGAATTAGAACACAGGAAATCAAAAGAGAGTTCTCCAGAAGAGTTAACCCGTACAGAAGTGAGACAAAGTGCAACAAAACGCGTTAAAAAATACTTCAAAAGATGTAAATATGCCTTATCCAAATCCAACAGTGGTGAGGCATCCAGCTCGATTGATTCATATTCGTCACTGTCGAATATCGATAAAAAAGCCGAAGAGTCGCTTCAAGACGTTACAGTTACGGATTTGACTGAAATTTTCGAAGACGTTTGCGTAGATACGTCGATAACTAACGATTTTAGTGATAAATTAGTCGTTGCTAACGTGATCGATGTTAAAGTGACGACGGGTGTTGTGCCAGAAAACTCGGATTACGTGAACGTTCGAACTGATCGTGAGCCGGAAAACTTAGAGCGCGTTGTTTCGGAAAATCTTGAGCCAATTAGTGAGCGTATTCAGGAACTTTTTTCCGAAAGTGTGGAAACTTTCGAGCCTGAACAGAGTGAAGTTGGATCCTCCGAATCTTTTCCCCACTTGACGGAAGAGCAAGAGAGGGTTAAGGATAAAGAAGAGGTCATAGATACAGGCAAAAGTAATCCCGACAACGGAATTGAGGTAAGTCATAGAATACGATTTTCCCTTTACATAAACAACTGCTCGTTCTAATCAATGTTACTAGTCTATAATTTGATCACACGTTTTAATGGTTTTAATTAAGATCGATTTTATTAATTCTTCTTCAAATTCGCCGTCAGTGGCTGATGGATGGTCCATTCATGGTTTTATACTTAACGTTGTATATTTTCGTACTATACGAGGGTGGATTGATAAGTTTCCGGCCTGACCAAGAAAAACAAGGTTTTTAAAAATTTTTTTTTTTTATTTCTCAACATAATCTCCTCCAAGGCTGATACATTTCTCATAGCGGTGTTCCAGTCTATTAATGCCATCTCTATAGACTGATTCGTCAAGCTCCTCAAAATAACCATTTACAGCTTCGATTACTTCTTCATTGTCCGCAAATCTCTTACCGCCAAGCCATTTTTTGAGATTAGGGAACAGAAAATAGTCACTCGGGGCTAGGTCTGGAGAGTAAGGAGGGTGCGGCATCAATTCAAACTTTAGATCGTTGATTTTAGCCGTCGCAACGATTGACGTGTGCGCTGGTGCGTTATCGTGATGAAACAAGATTTTTTTCTTCGCCAGATGAGGTCGTTTAATTTTCACCTCGTGGCTCAAACGTTGCAATAAGTCTGCGTAGTATTGACCAGTGATAGTATTACCCTTTGCAAGGTAATCAATGTATATAATACCTCTTGCATCCCAAAAAACAGTAGCCATAACCTTGTTCGCCGAAAAAATTGTTTTTGCCTTCTTTGGAGTTGGTTCCCCTGGTCCAATCCACTGTTTAGACTGTTCTTTGGTTTCAGGAGTGTAGTGGTGGACCCACGTTTCGTCAACGGTTACGAATCGACGCAAAAATTCGCTTGGATTACGCTTATACAATGACAAATTTGCGGTAGAAATGTTTTTTCGAATCAATTTTTGGTCGACTGTTAGCAAACGCGGCACCCATCTTGCACAGAGCTTTTCCATATGCAAATGTTGGTGCAAAATATGTTGCACACGTTCATATGACATCTTACAGGTCTCAGCTATCTCACGCACTTTCAATCTGCGGTCTCCCAGCACTATTTGATGAATTTTTTCGATCATATCTGGAGTTGTGACCTCAACGGGGCGTCCTGAGCGAGGCCCATCAGAGGTGCTCACACGACCCTTTTTAAACTCGGAAACCCACTGCTTAACGGTTGAATATGACGGGGAGGATGTCCCCAGTGTTGAGTCCATCTCTTTTTTAATTTCCTTCGGCGTTAACCCCTTCAAATAAAAGTATTTGATGACAGCACGATTTTCCTGCTTTTCCATTTTTACGAAAACCACAGAGGCGTCTTGTTCAGCGTGCTGTCAAACCTACACTAGCAAGGAGATCGGGCTGAAACTATAGCTACAAGCTATCCAAGGATGGTACTATAGAATGTCACCTCAAGGTAGGCCTAGTGGCGTCATCTCTTGGTTAGGCCGGAAACTTATCAATCCACCCTCGTATTAATGTTCATTAATTTTATAATCTGTTGAATTTGATATAAACTCTCATCAACTTTATTGCAAATTTGTACTGAAATTTGTTATCAATCAATTTTATTTAAAAATTATATCGATTTGTAAAGATAAATTACCCAATTACGTATTATTCATAATAATTACTGTCACTTATTGATTTTATGGCAATAAAGAAAGCTTAATATAAAATAAATCCAAGCTATATCCGCAGGTAATTCTCATAAGCAAATATATCTTCTATAGCAACGTCTTAAGAATGCATGTACATAACTTAATGGATCAACACTCTATATATGTACATAAGACTCGGTAATGGATAATGATAGTCTTATTAATATGTCATTTCATCCAGCCTATCAATATGTGATGATTAGGTGCTTTTGCGGCAAACTTCTTATGCAGTCGGCAAATCCTTGAAAACCTTCATAATAAAAATGAAGTTTATCACGATACTTTATGAAACTGAGATAAATATTTGAACTTAATGATGTAATTTCAATTATGACTAGCTAACGACAACCCGCTTCTCAGGGTTACATTCTTACTTTTAATCTAAACGGGTGTTTGGTGGTTGATTTACAAACCCAAACGCACACCAGACTGGAGTAATCTCTTATAGGAGACCACTTTGGTCAAAATGGTACACTCTAGACTCTTCAGGACCAGTTCAGTCTAGTAAATTCAAACGAAAGAGAATCCTAGAGATACTCGACAATATTCTGGTTAGAAACAAATAAAAACGTTGTACAATATCACGTATTTTAAACAGGTGTATACAGGCTGGTGGTCGACTGGCACACCCACAAACCCCCCAAACTGGAGAAATTACAGAAGATTCCAAACAGTTAGTAGAACAACTTGGTCAAAATATGTACAATATTCCCTAATATATTAACATGACTTCTCATTCATAACGTTCTGGAACATTCTAGAATGTTCTAAACTCTTCCGGACCAGTTCATTCTAATTATAGCGAAGGAGAATCCTAGAGATACTCGAGAATATTCTAGCTAGAAACGGAAATGGAGAAATTATAGAAGATTCCATACAGTTTATAGAACACTTTGGTCAAAATATATACAAAAATCATTATTACATTAAATTGGCTTCTGGCTTCTCATACATACCGGTTCTGGTACATTCTAGAACGTTCTAGAGGAGCAGTTCATTCTAGTAAATTATAGCGAAGGACAATCCTAGAAATACTTGAGAATATTCTAGCTGGAAAGAAGAAAAAACATTGTTGTACAATATCACTTATTTTAAAAGGATATATAGAAATCGGTGATAATAGTGGTAGAAACCGATGTGTGGAGGCTGATGGTCGACTCGCACACCCACCAAGTTCAACAATTTCAATATATCTTGCATTAAATCGTAAATGATGTACACTTGAGTCAACTTGCAGACATTTCAAACTTCATTGAAAGTAAATCGCGTGCTTCTGTTCTATTTGTTTTAGTGAATGGAATTGACTGAACACAATTAGCACTAAACTTTTTACAATGTGGCGTGGGTAATTGCAAACGATCACTTCATAATATTTATGTAGATAAGCGTATGCCTGATGTACGTTAAAAGCTTCCACTTGCCGATTTTCATTACTTGCGCTCGTAGGTTTGCAAGAACGAACTATTGGCACCTGCTTGAAAGTTAAGTGCTCCGTTAATGAATTTATTCCGCTGGCAAACAGACAAATAAATATGAAAAGCGCGCATGACTGACTGACTTACTTGCACTTGAATTAACATCGAATCTGACTTATTGGTCTGATCTACGGAATCGGGATTTATTACAGTAATTAAGAGAGTTTCAGTACCAGAATAAATATTAAATGTAACCGTTTCTAAAACCAGAACATAAATAAATAACTAAATTCATTAAAAATCAATAGATATAAAAACAAGATATTTTTGTCGATGCGGCGTTTTCTTCGGGGCTCTTTTGGCCGTGGTCCGTGGAATTTTACTTTTCCAAACGTCTCGCCGTTCTGATGATGATCAGTGACGACTCAGCACTTGTCCAGTCACCACTGAAGATGCCGTCAGCAAAGAACGGCGAAACGTCTGGAAAAGCAAGATTCCACGGACCACGGCCAAAAAGTAAGATATTTTTTAAAGGATGATATAGATTATACAATAATTACCCATCTTAAATCTCTATTAAAGATTACTACTTTTAAACCTCCCCTCGTAGTCTGTATCTATTTATCAAACTTATGTAAATAATAATATTTAGTAGTAAATACTCCAATGGAATGTTAGGACAAGACGCAAGTAGGGAAATTAGAAAATTTGAAAGTTGATACATGGTTTGTATAAAGAGCAACAAGCACCTTTAGAGCTTGAGCAACAACGCAACAACGTAGAGCAGTAAATTTTAGGAAAGGGGTCAGACAAGGATGCATTTACATACTTATTAATTTATACATCGAAAACGCGATCAACATCATTAAAGATAGTACAACTGTAGAGATAGATGTACAAGGGTAAAAAATTAGTATGCTTATAATTGCAGATAAAATAACAATATTAGCATCTAGCAAGGTGGAGTTAGAGATAACCTTAAATACAATGGAAGCGATTTTGAGAAAACAATATTTGATGAAATTAAATAATAGTAAAACAAAAATACTGGTATAAGAAGGAAGAAAAAGTAGAGAAAAGCGAATATAAAGATAGGAGATGGAAATTAAAAGAAGTGGCTGATTTTCAGTATCTTAGGAAGTCAGGACGGTAGAAATAGTAAGGATATAAAGTAGAGGATAGCGCAGGGTAGAGTCGTCTTCAATAAAAAGAAGTCATTCTACGCTCACGAACGGTTAATTTAGAAATCCGAAAAAGATTGTTGAAGTTGTATGTTTGGACCGCGTCATGGACGGTATGTAAAGGTTAGAATCATTCGAAATGTAGTGTTACCGGCAAATGATGATGCTACCGTCGATAGAGAATATTAGAAGTGAAGAGGTATTAGAAAGAATAGTAGAACAGAAGACAGAAGTCATTAAGAAACAGGCGAAATGGGTTGGTAGAGCACCTTCTCATGCATGAAGGGCTATTCAAAGACATGGTAGAATCTAAAACAGGAGTTAGACGGGGTAGAGGTAGACTTAGATTAGTTTACTGTTCACAAATAGTTAAGGATATGGGATGTTCTAGTTTTAAGGAAATGCGAAGATTGGCTCAGAATAGGAATGCTAGGAAGTGTGTGTAAAACCAGTCTTGGGAACGACAATCTTATGATGATGATGAATATGGAATTTCATCATATAAATACCAAAATCACTCAGTTTATCGGTAAACTAGGTTTTCCGAAATTTCTCGTCTCATAGGTACCTATAATGCATAATACAATAAAGGATATGCCGCCAGTTACAAGTTGTACGAAAGAAAGTTAGTCAACTACTCAGCCAGACAAAAAACTCCCGATAACATTTTTGTCCATTGTATCCTTGAATATTTTGAACACATTAAATCTTTTATTTGCAAGGT